TACAGAAATGAGAACTACTACAAAATGGGGTTGATTTATTCAAAGGGAATATCAGTTTTTGACACCAAGAGGAGGATCTCTGTAAGTAAAAGGGATTTTCCTCTAGAGATGAACAAAGTTAATATATTATTCCAGAAAAAGATCACAAGCCAGCAGCCTAGCTGCAATGCTTTGTGCTGCTGAATGAGAGATTCTGATTTGATTAATATTGCGTCTCACTCTAGAGGCCAATAGGAGCTAATAGCACTGCAAAGCTACACTAGCTCCATTCCCATTTGTGACCCATGCAATTCAACCTCTAATTTTAAGGGCAGCATTTAAACTGCGAAGAGCGTTCGTGCCAGTCTTCCTTAGCTAGAGGTCTGTCACAATGATGTAGAATGAAGGGACAGATGGAAAATGGGAGGGGATCATTAATCTCTTAAATTCCAGTGGGGCCTACACACTGAATACCTGACCCTTCAGAATGTTATCTTCACAATAGCAACAGAAAATATGCCATTTCAGCTGCCTGTTTTTAACTATCCAGCAGTTTCACTGCCTAGTCGATGCCAAAAATTGTGTTTAACTAATTTTACATCAGAAGCTATATATACATGCAATGCTATTGGGAGAAAATGCCACCTTTTTCCTGGGAACTGACATGCAGTAAGATATAAGTTTGTTGCAAGTTGAAAAACATGACCATCCTCTTGAGTGGGTTTGTAAAAGTGGTGCTAATGTGTATAACTCTTCTGAATCTTTCTTTTTTCCCCCTTTAACATTTGTTTACCTCTTCACTGTGTCAGTCACAACACCACTCTTGAATCTCCCTGCTGGTCTTGACTTGTTAAATTTATTTTATGCTTTCACTCTTCTTTAATAAATACATTACTTGCAAGCAGTGAATTGAAAACAAAGCAAAAGAAAAACTACCATTAGTGATTGGACAGTTTCTTACTTTGTGTTACATTTAACTGTTCTTTTGACAGCCCAGTTTTTAAAGCCAGGTTCGTATGGAAATGCTTTCACTCCACTTGCACTGCTTTTGGAAATAGCAAACTGCTTCATCTGTCTGTTTATTTTAGTGCATTCATGACACAACTCAGTCAGCACAATGTCTCATCTCCACTTAACAAACTATTGTACGGTAGTTCTTGTCCTTCTTTAAAAATGCAGCCATTTATGTCAGCATCAGCTTTTTAAATTTGATTCCCATAATCCTTTGTCAGATTCAGTTAATATGTTCATGTAGAAGGAACAATTACAATGTAATAGCCATAAAAATGGGGATCTGTGGCCCCATTTTACAAGAGGAACATGCAATTGTTGTCATTGTGGCATAAATGGTCTGCAGCAGTTACTCTCACAGGTAAGTTCTTGTAAACCTTAAAGTCTAAAACGCTCTTCCATGGTGTTCATAGTTGGAAACCATATTTGTTGTTCATTTTTCTCTTTCACTCATATTGATTTAAATATTTATATCTTGGCATATTCTTACTGCTCCTCGTTTTTCAATGTAGAACTAACTACTGCTTCATAGAGAGACCCCATAGTGTGGGAAGGACATTGTTGTACACTCTTGTCTTGAAAAAGTTAGTGAGACTAAAATGTCTTTTTTTACTTGCAGAGCAAAAGAAAAAGGGCTCTAGTCACTAGAATTTTTGGGGGGGGTGGGGTGGAAGGGGGAAATGCATCCAGGCACACTGTAAATCTCAAACTCTTGTGCTCTTTAGGTCTGATACACCAGTGGCATTCACATTATTCAGTCATGTACACCAATGAGTGTGTAAAACACTGCTGTTCTGACTTCTGGGTTTTTGTTTAATACTTCATTACTGAATTAAACTAAAATTGTAGCATTTTTATTAGCTGACTTTTGGATACAATGCATCATTATGTCACAACCAGACAACTCATTACAATTCAGGATATTCTGTAATATCCTGAGTTGTAATGGGTTGCATAACTAGAAGAATTTATGACAATGAACTGTATGTTGAGTTTAAAGACATTTTTAAAAAAAGGCTCTTTAGGCAATCCTAGAAATTACAGGCCAGTAAATCTAATTTCAGTACCAGGCAAATTGATTGAAATTATAGTGAACAGAATTATCAGATAAAAAGAACAGGAGTACTTGTGGCACCTTAGAGACTAACAAATTAGTCTGTAAGGTGCCACAAGTACTCCTGTTCTTTTTGTGGATACAGACTAACACAGCTGCTACTCTGAAACCAGAATTATCAGATGAACATGATACACTGAGGAAGAGTCAACATGGCTTTTGTAAAGGGAAATCATACCTCACCAATCTGTTAGAATTCTTTGAGGGTGACAACAATCATGTAGACAAGGGTGATCCAGTAGATACAGTGTAGCTGGACTTTCAGAAAGCCTTTGATAACGCTGCTCACTGAAGGCTCTTAAGCAAAGTAAGCAGTCATGGGATAAGAGGGAAGGTCCCCTCGTGGATCAGTAACTGGTTTAAAAGATAGGAACCAGAGGGTAGGAATGAGAGGTCACTAGGGTCCCCCAAGGATCTGTACCAGGACCAGTGCTGTTCAGTTTATTCATAGATAATCTGGAACAGGGGTACACGGTTAGGTGGCAAAGTTTGTAGACAACACAAAATTACTTAAGATGCAATAAAAACTGTATTATCCAGCACGTTACCAACCAGAAAGCTCTGTAAAGTGGCATTTCTGATCTTCAATAGGGTCCGGTTGGCACGGGGCTGGCAGGCTCCCTACCTGACTCTGTGTCGCTCTCTGAAGGTGGCGACATGTCCCTGCTGCTCCTAGGTGGAGGAACGGCCATGGGGGCTCAGTGCGCTGTTCCCGCCCCGAGTGCTGGCTCCACAGCTCCCATTGGCCCTGGCCAACTGTGGCCAATGGAAACTGCGGGGGTGGCGCCTGCAGGTGGAAGCAGCGCGGAAAGCCGCCTGACCACACCTCTGCCTAGCAGCAGCAGGAACATAATCGCTGCTTCTGGGGAGCCGCTCGAGGTGAGTGCCACCCGGATCTAGCACCCCAAAACCCCTTCCGCACCCCTGCCCCGAGCCGCCTCCTGCACCCAAACTTCTTCCCTCTTAATTAACCGGAATTTTTGACTTACCGGCACCCACCATTCCCCAGCATGCCGGATAACAAAGCTTTTACTGTAGTTAAGTCCAAAGCTGACTGCAAAGGAGATCTCACTAAACCAGGTGACTGGGCAAGAAAATGGCACATGACATTAAATGATGATAAATGCAAAGTGATGCACATTGGAAAACATAATCCCAACTCTGCATACAAAACGATGGGGTCTAAATTAGCTTTTACCACTCAAGAAAGAGATCTTGGAGTCATTGTGGATAGAGCTCTAGAAACATCTGCTCAATGTGCTAACATGTTAGAAACTGTTAGGAAAGGGATAGTTAGATGCAAAAATATCATAATGCCACTATATAAACCCTTGGTGCACCCACACCTTGAATACTGCATGCAATTCTGGTCGCCCCATCTTGAAAAAGATGTATTAAAATTGGCAAAAGTTCAGAGAGAGGCAATGGAATGATTAGGAGTATGGCACAGCTTCCATATGAGGAGAGATTTAAAAGACTGGCACTGCTCAGTTAGAAAAGAGATGACTGGGGGGATATGCTACAGGTCTGTAAAATCATGTAAAGGAGTAAATATGACTTTCTCCACACTATTCATCACACATGAAGCAGGGGTCACCCAATGAAATTAATAGCAGATTTAAAACAAACATCAGGAAGTATTTCTTCACACAACAGAGAGTCAACCTGTGGAACTCTGCCAGGGGATGTTGTGAAGGCCTAAAGTATAATTGGGTTCGAAAAAGAATTAGATAAGTTCGTGTAGGCTCTTAGCCAAGATAGTCACTGACTCAACCCTATGCTCTTGGGTGTCTCTAAATCTCTGACTTCCAGAAGCTGCCCCTGATGGCTGGGGATGGATCACTCAATAAATTGCCTGTTTGGTTCATTCCCTCTGAAGTGTCTGGCACTGGCCATTGTCAGAGACAGATTGCTGGGCTAGACAGACCATTGGTTTGACCCAGTATGGCTATTCTTATGTTCTTTCTTGTATTTCGTTTTCTGTGACGGATTCTTTTGCAAAATGTAATGAACCCTTTTTCTTTAGTCCCAGTCAAAAGCTGACATTTATTGCTGGACCAATACCTTTCAACTTACTTTATCATGAAATAGCTCTTTTTCTATAGGAAGATGAGACATTATGCTTATTGTTTCCCCTACATGCACTAATGGTTCCTTGCTGTTAACTTATTGCTAGGCCTGTTTCATTCTAACATCTTAGTATTTTTGTTAGAGTATATGTGAAATGCATCACCCAGTCTGTGCTTGAGCTCATTTTATTTTATTTGATTGATTTTTTTTTTTTGTTTCACTAACCTCACTGTTTTTATCAGTTTAATATTGGCTGCATGCTAGTTTATATATATACATATATATAAAAAAAACCCAATCAAGTCTAGCCTGGATTTTGCTATGATTGTGTTTTGGTTTCTAGTGGTGGGGCAGTCTTGCACTTACAACTTACTCAGTATTCTAAAAGCCTGACACAAAAACAAAATGACTAAACACAATGTAGATTTTCTTTACAAAAACAATCTTAAAGTGGTGCTGTCTAGGTGATGGATATGATTGTATAAATAACTTGATTTTATGCTTTTTAGTGTCAATTTTTTTTATTGGTACAATTTATTTTCTCCCATATTGCTTTTTTTATTTTAAATGTTATGCACAAAAGTTGCCCAGAACACCATCAGAAAGTGACCCTCCCCAAGACCCCGTCCCCCTTGAAAAATGATAGCCAGCAATTTTTTGACATTTGTCTTCCCTTTTATTGGGCATCTATTGCCTTTTCAGTAGCATTTTTTTGCATGCACATATGTAGAAAATCTCTTGCTCGTCTCATGTTTAAATGTCAATGGGAAGGGAAGAATATATTATTGGAATATTTTTGGTTTGTTTTCTCTGTTCTGTCTGTCAGGATAATATTGGACACCGCTTACTCCAGAAACATGGGTGGAAGCTGGGCCAGGGATTGGGAAAATCACTTCAGGGTAAGTTCAAAAGTTTGTATTTGAGAAACAGATTCAAAACCAGATTCATTTTTTAAATTGATTATTTCTGCTGTTTTTCTAGTTTAGATTTCCCCCAAATGCTAATGTATCCAAACAAATGCACTGTTTAATTTTCATGTTTAGCAAGTTGCAAGTGGAAGCTGCTGCCTCCCTTAACTATACAGGTGTGTGTGATGTAGGTTTGTGAATGACTTTGTTTTTGGAGGGAGAGGAATTAACTGCCTACCTAGTAACAGGTAGTTTGTGCAGCTTCTAAAATTACATTAATATTTGTCAGACTGGAACATGCAGATGTTTGGTGTTAAGGGGAACTGGCAAATAAGAAATAGATGTGATGACTTCTATGAACATTCAGTGGTGTCAGAAGCCATTAGAAGGCAAGTAAAAGGGCCCACTGAAGACTGAAGTGGTGGCAGAGGTAAAAAGTGGTATGAGAGCATTGGGAGACCGTTTTAGAGAGCAGGATGTGGCAGTATAAGCAAAATAAATATTCAGTCATCTGCTCTGAAAGCCTACCAACCTCTCTGCAAGAATCCTATTCGACTTTGACCCACTGAAAGCAGGATGAGAAATACCTACCAGAAGACCTAAAACACGATGGCTGGATTGTGTCAACAGACACCTGTCTCTCACAGGCATCCTACCCTGTGACACATTAGGTTTGGCTCAGGACAGCACATGGTGAAAGTGCATAACACCTTTAGTGGTCTCTACATTGTCTAAGCAACACATAAGATTAACTAATCAACCTAACCGTATTGCCAGGCTGGCCTTGCATGTGTTATCAGCTGGGATGGCTTTGTGCATCTCGCCATATGATTAACTTCTGCAGGTTGCAAAGTTGATACTTATCAACATGCTTTTTCATTTTTATGTAGTTTTTAAGTCCGATTCTAGGCATAGGAACAAGGGCTTCCCCCGACTTCCAGTTAACCAAGTAGGGAATAGGTGTATGTCACAATATCTCTGCCAATCATTAAATGGTATACCTCCTCAAATAGAGTCAGAACATTATTTTCACCCTCCCCTTCCTCCTGAGTTTCTTTAAGAACAGTTTTCTGTGCTGTGTGTCTGAGGTATGTTGGCTTTGTCTGTGTTTGTAACATGGTTCAAAACCAGCAAGTTGAGAGTGCATAATTCTGCATCTTCTCTGCATAGATAGTAGCTGCGAGTTTCCAAATTCACACTTGGCAATGGCCAGTGGCAGAATTAACTATAGCTGTTGTAGTACTGATTCTTCCATATGTTAGCTCATTCTCCACAAAGTTCCTAAAACAGGACAACACTTTGCATAGTGGAGTTGTTATATGACTGTTACAAGATATCAGCGCCTTGGTAACTGTTTTTGTAATGCTGATAGGAAATCCAGCATTGCTTGCATAAGGAAACATGTCTATCTGATATCCCTATTAAGTGACAGTTCACATGGTTAGTGTTCAAAGAGCACTGTCCTAAAAGGACTTTCATAGAGTTAAAATATAGCTTCTCTTAACTTATGTATTTAAAATACTAGATTTAAAATCGAGAACATACTTAGATATATCAAATATCTGGTATGATAAGGGCTGCCACCTGTGAACCTACTAACATTATGAAGCTGACTGTTTAACATTTGTTTGGTTCACAGCATACATACACAAATTCAGCAGGGGCATTTGTCCCCTCAGCCCTATATCTCTCTCATGTTGACACATTTTTGGCAAACAGGTTTCATTATTATACACAGTAAAGGCATATTAGCCAAACCAGTAGCCAACAAACATTAAAAAAAAAAACCTGACCGAATAGAGCTCATCAGTTGCCTAGCAACACCTTCAGCACTGGCCGTAAAGAGTGTCTTCTGGAGGTATTTTGCTCCAGAGATTGTATAAGGGTGGTTTTGTCAGGAGCAACATCATGGCAATTGCAAACCATTTCTCCTTTTTTCTGGGAGAGGAGAGTGGGAGGGATGTGTGTGGAAGAGATGATTCAGGGACTTGGGCTAGTTGAAAAAGTTAGATCACCAATGGCATAGGCACTGACTCCATAGGTGCTCTGTCTCTCAAGCCCCACAGGAGAAAAAAGGGGGTGCTTAGCACCCACCAGTCGCAGCTGTTTGGCTGCTGGTGGGAGCACTTGTGGAAGCGCAGAGAGCCTTGGGGAAGGGGCAGAGTGGGGGCGGCAAGAGGCAGAATGAGGGTGGGGTCTCGGGGTGGAGCACTTACCAAGAAAAATAAAACTCAGCACCTGTGACCAATGGATACCTAGTCAGTAAACTCAATATAGGAACAACTCTCCATAAAGATACAGCATAGGAATGTGAGGGGGCTCCCGCTAATTTTCATTTTGAGGCATTGGAAACGTGCTAAGTGAGATTGAATAGGAGAGGACTAAGCACAGATTGAGGATTCTGAATGAACCAGAAGAGGACTGTGAGGAGGCTAAGTTGAATGTAGAGGGGGAAGAACAAGTTTTCCCCATGGTAGTCAGTGCTGTGAAGCTGACTAACCATAACGCAAAGACAAGGAGGTTAGAACAGTGTGCTGCCTGCCTCCCAGAAGTTGAGAATCTGTTCTGTTAGAAGCTAAATAGGATCACAAAAGCAGCTTGAGAGAAAACACTCAATTCAGATGTTGCAAAAGAGGTTGAGAACCAGCGGGCAAAATATTAACTGAAATGTTGTGAACAATGTGGAAAATGTAGGTAATAAGTGGATGGCTCAAGTGATCTGTTTTTGTAATATAAATGATGATTCTACAGGAGTATTTACTGACTCTGCCTTGAACACCTGCCTCAGGTTCACACTTGAATAACTTTGCCATTGTCCAGTTGCTTTTGTGAGCAAAGTGTCGTAATTATAACTATCCTTCAACATTTCTTTAGTAGATTTACTTATTTTAAGTATTATTAGCAGCATGTGCGTTTTCTTAACTCCTTTCTATGCAGAACACAGAAATTAATGTCTTAAAGAAGTCATGTTAAACTTCCCTTTACCAGAAATTGCCTGTATTTACACACACTGTTGCAGTTTGAATAGTTAGTATACCTGAAGCTTGTAGTCGTGTTGATTTAAAGTGCTCCCATTGGATTATAGATACCAGATCTAGTTGTTGACTTTCATATATTTTGTCCAAGAGAATATTAATCTGGTGTCTCTGAGAGATACATGAATCAGAATTTAGTATCTTGGTACACTAACCAATAGCTAACTGATAACCCTGTCAGTGTAATGGTTGTTTTAGTGTAAGTTAATATTTCTCTGCTGAATCAAATCATTTTGGTTCTGTTTGGTCAAGAAGGGAGCTTTGTCGGTAAAAATCTGGGGCTCTGGAGTGTTTGTTTGCTCTTCAAATCGTCTGGTGTGAAGCCTAGGCAACTCCTTTGTGCTCTTTTGTTGCCATAGAAATATTTAGCTACATTCTGTTCCATATAGTCTCTTATACTGTACTCATCACCATAGTATCCGAGTGCCTTCCAGTAGTGCATAAAGTGACATAACATCTGTCGTGTTTTGTGTGTTCTCTCATCTCTTTTCCTGGAGGAGACATGTGCCATAGAGTGTCTTGTTTTGGTAGGATGTCGTTTCAAATATATATGTTGCTGTGTATTAGAAAAGCAATGCTGAGGAAATGTCATGCATGGGGAGCAGAAGGAGGCGAAGTTTGTGATGGTCCTTAGTTCCTATGTGGGGTGTTCATTTCACAGTCTTGGATCAGCCCCCACGAAAGTGCCATCTCCCACACAGATGAGCTTTATCCTTCTTCTTGTAGAAAGAAAAGGAGTACTTGTGGCACCTTAGAGACTAACCAATTTATTTGAGCATGAGCTTTCGTGAGCTACAGCTCACTTCATCAGATGTATACCGTCTGAAGTGAGCTGTAGCTCACGAAAGCTCATGCTCAAATAAATTGGTTAGTCTCTAAGGTGCCACAAGTACTCCTTTTCTTTTTGCGAATACAGACTAACACGGCTGTTCCTCTGAAACCTGTCTTCTTGTAGAGAGTTCCATTGGGCCAGAGAAGCAAAATTATCAACAGAAGTCTTCATATAGACTGGGGAGTGCCTTGAAAATAAGAACCAAGACCTTGAACTTGATTTGATATTCTGTGGGAAGTCATTGTAGAAAGTGGAGAATGGGTTTAATATGCAGGTGTTTTATTTAAAGGTGGTATAGCAACACCTAGTGATGTCTCTATTCTCATATCCGTTACACAGGGGACTGAAATATATGGTGGTTATAATAGATGGGGGGGATGCATTGAGGAAAGTGGCAGCCTTATAACTTTGGGGTTCTTTGCTTAAGTCAGTTCGTTATTCAATTATAGAAGGAACTAGTAGTATTTAGGTTTTCTAATACTTTCTTATAAAATGGAGATCTTGGGGGCAAGGAGTACCAACACCTTTGCATGCAACAGGGAGATGGTCCTTGGCCCTGAGAAATGCCTTTTCTCTTTCACGGCATTTAGTTGAGATGCTGTGGAAGATCATCATTTTCTTTTTTCAGAGTAGCAGCCGTGTTAGTCTGTATCAGCATGAAGAAAAGGAGTACTTGTGGCACCTTAGAGACTTGACTTAAATTTATTTGAGCATAAGCTTTCGTGGACTACAGCCCACTTCATTGGATGCCTAGAATGGAACATATAGTAAGAAGAAATGTATACATACAGAGAATATAAAAAGGTGGAAGTAGCCATACCAACTGTAAGAGGCTAATTAATTAAGAGGAGCTATTATCAGCAGGGGAAAAAACAACTTTTGAAGTGGTAATCAAGATGGCCCATTTCGGACAGTTGACACGAAGGTGTGAAGATACTTAACATGGGGAAATAGATTCAATTAGGGTATGACTGAGCCATTCCCGGTCTCTGTTCAAACCTAACTTAATGGTATACCATTGGTACACTAATTGAATCTATTTCCCCATGTTAAGTATCCTCACACCTTCGTGTCAACTGTCGGAAATGGGAGATCTTGATTACCACTCCAAAAGTTAAGGAGTA